TATATCCTGCTAATTGGCATTGTAAGAGAGGAGTCGGCAGCCAGGACAGGTGAACAGCAACAAGTAAAATAATGTTGTCAAAATCAACGATTTTGCTGAACAGACAGAAGTTAGTCAGCCTCATTAGTGCAATTGCATAGTCCAAATTAGGTCATAAGACCATAAACTAAGTTGATTTTATCGGCGAGCAGCGGCAGCAAGTCGCGCCAGCGTTCACTCAGCGTTCGACTACGTAAACTACGTAAGCCAAACTTCCCTAAGAAGCCAATTTGTGGGAAAATCCAAACATATTTGTTAGTGTCTATGTTCTGAGTACAAAAGCAATATTCTAAAACGTATTGTAACACTGTATTTACTGTGTGTAGTAAGTGTAACACTGAACAAAAGACCTAAGTCATTATGATGAATGGAGAGGTGTTTTCCATTCATCAGTTTTACATTGAGCGCATCAGTGTCCAGCTGGCTCTTATATCTCATCATATATGGATGTGTCTTCTGAAAACAAAACAATTGTAAGAGAATGTTGTTTTGAATGTGACATTCCATTTTTCAGGAGGATTGAAGTGTTCTGTCCATTGTGTGTTTTTTGATTTGTGTGTAGATTTCAGAAAGTATGAGGCATGCTGTCATAAATTGTGTCAACAATCAAATTGTCGCTGTAATATCAGTTCAGTTTTCACTAAGAGTTTTGAGGTGAAATCCATGCCAATTTCTATACCAGAACATTTCAGTTTTTCAATGTAAAATCTGGAATTAACAAATTTTTTAAACCTACTTTATCTTGTGACATGAATTTTAAAATAAGAGATTTTATTGATTTTTTTCCAAACTATAATCAAAAATGAGTTTCAGTTTTTGTCCCTTACAAAGACCAAAAATTAACTTTACCAGATTAAATTATTCTTACCTTGTGGTCCTTCTGTGTCCTCAGTGGTAGCCTCCTCATCTAGAAATCCATGGTGGTACTCTATTTTAGAGGGTGAGGAGACAGGACAGAGATCCAGCTCATACCCACTCGGGTCTGATTCTATGGAATGCTGACCTGGACACTTCCTCTCCAGGGTTGGTTCTGGCATGAACTCTTCTGATGAGCTCTGAATGGGTTTAAATCCACTGGAATCATCTACAACAGCAATGACATCCAAGTCTTCTCTGCTGTAGCTGATTTCTATGTCACTATCTTCATCTGGGAATTCAGATTCAAAGCACTGAGTTCCTGTTGAAGCTTTGTTTTCCGCACATGACAAACTGGTGTCTGCCTCATTTTCCACCTCGTCTTTAGCACTGGGAAAGAAAATATCTTTTGCAAAAGGGTCACTGCCTTTGAAAGGGTCTGAGGCAAAACCATCTGAAAAATTAGTAGAAAATGTGAATATATAACTGGCTGATTTAACAAATAATCATTTAAACAGCTTTAAAAAATTATGTCTTATAAAAGTAAAAATATTTTCTGCAAACTGATTCAGATCAGAAATGCTGTGTTGTGTTTAAGTTTGTCCTAATGAGAAAGGTTATTTAGATTTTTAAGAAAGGATGGTTCCTTACCAGATGAGTCTGTTTTAGGAAACAGGTCCTCGTTGAAGAGATCATCTACAAGGCAAGAAAGAAATTGGAGAACATTTTTTTGCAAATGCAGTGCTTGTTATAAGCATTTGATTACCTACTGAGTACAATCTATATGCATCTAGCATCTGAACCAAGGCAACAACGTTGCAAAGCAGCCTCAATGTTTGATGCGACTACCATAGTGCTCTATAGTTAGGAAACTGTGCTGGTTGCTCTACTTTGGTCAATGACACTTGTTTTTCCAGCTTCCCAAGCCGTTTGAGTACCTCAGAGGATCTTAAGCTTTTCCCATTTTCTTTTATGCCAGTTTAGAGACATGCTGGTAGGATACAGGAACACCTTCAGCTTGAGACTCATTTTGCCAAAGTGCACCACAGAGCCCCAAAGAAGATAATTTCTGCCTGTAGCATTAGGCTTTACAATGCCCAAGTCTGAGCTAATAAATTCTAATTTTCTTTGCTCTCAGTAGGTTTATTTGCATGTGCATGCTTGTCATTTATAGTCATATTGAACTGTCTCATCACTCGTAGGTATATATATATATATATATATATATATATATATATATATTATATGTAAATTAAAAAAGAAACACTTCTTTTTTTCCCCCCCCTACTTTTTAAAGAAA